ATACAAGCACCACTAAATGCTAAATTTAATGGTATTTTTAGGCACAAATGCCTCTAAATTTAGTGATGTTTTTAGATACAAATGATGTTAAGTTAGTGGCATTTTTTCTTAAAATGTTGCTATTTCTTTTTACGTATAGCCGACACTCTTAGTAGCGTTTTTAGCAAATACCACGAATGTTTTAGTGGCATCTAAACGTGAAAAAACAATGCCACTAAAGACCTAATCCCTTTCAGTAAATTTTCGTAAAAAGCTCTATATCATAATTTAATATTATTTTATGATATTTGGAATATTGAAAACCTTTATCGTACATCGAAAGATGTAAAATTACTAAAACACCCTTCAAAGGTATTTTTTGTAATTTGACATTTTTTAGGTCTATTTTTTGTGAAACATTCTAAATCGTGTTTTTAAATTATTTGATATTTTTGGTGTAATAAAAACCTTGGTTGTACCTCGAAAGGTGTAAAATTACTAAAATACTTTTTAGTAATAATTTCGTAATTTAACCATCTCAAGGTCAATTTTTCACAATAACTTTCATATCATAATTTCATATCTATTTTAGGATATTTTGTGCTTTAAAGTAATAACAAAAAAATGAAGAAGGAATCATGGTTTTCTAAGAAAATTGCATAAAATGCTAAAACTTTCTAATTTAGTGTAAAATGGTCCTTTCACATTGGTTCCAACACATTAAAATTGCACCTTTTAGCCATAAACCTTTTAAGCCTTTGGATGATCTTAAAGGGCTGAATCCAAAGGTAAAAGGTGGTTTTTTGCAAAATAAACAAGAGAGAAAGGATAGCTATCAGATGAAAAACGCATCTGAAGGCTTGTATGAATTTTGCATAAGATATTTATTCATCTTTTAAGGTTAGAAGAGGACGAAGAAGGCTTCTTGAAATTAGCTAGGAAAGGGAAGAAAAAACAAGTAAAAAAGGAAAGTTTGGGAAAAGTTTTGGAAGGTATAAATCTATCTTTACTCCTTTGCATTTTCATGATAGTTTTCTTTGGTTTTTATAATTTTTCAAAGAAGAACAACCCTCTTCATGGTTGTTTTTCTCCATAACTCCAAGCTTGATCCAAAAATTTAACCACCTAATCAATAATTTGTGTTTGAAACAAAAGGGATAAGAAATAGAAAAATTCCACCAATAAATACGTTTTGTATCAAATGGCTAAATGTTGCTTACATAATTTTTGCTTGCTTGAGTTTTTTATTTGTTCCTTATGTTAGCTATGTGTTTGATGAAATCTTTAATGAATAAAAATGATGGATTATTAGACTTTTGGTTGATTTTTATGTTATTTGCTTGTGTTGTAATTCAAAACAAAAAAAATAGTGGAACATGTCTCTAAATTTTTTAAAACCATCGGTGTTTGATCTATTTTTGCCATATTGTTTGATACATGTTTAGTTTGTAATATGTTTGTAAATATGCCTAACTTTGTAATATGTTTGTCTTCATATATGGTCCATGCATTAAAGTTTGCATTTTCATTAATGGCATTTTTTGTAATTTTTGTTACATTATTCCCATGCATTAAAGTTTGCATTTTCATTAATGGCATTTTTTGTAATTTTTATTACATTATTCCCATGCATCAAAGTTTACAATTTTATCAATAGTATTTTGATAATTTTGTTACATGCATCAAAGTCTACATTTTTATCAATGACATTTCGATAATTTTGTTTCATGCATTCCAAAATTCCTAAATCCAAACACTAACCTAAATCCTAAACCCAAATCCTTAAACCTAAACCTTAAACCCAAATCATAAACCTAAATCTTAAACTCTAAACCCTAAACACAAAACTTAAACCTTAAACCAAAACCCTATACTTTAAACAGTAAACCTAACTATAAACCCTAAAACAAAAACTTTAAACCCTAGACCCTAAAACCAACACTCTAACGTAGACTCTAAACTAACCCCAAACCTTAAACTAACCATAAACTCTAAAACCAACATGATCCCATTCATGCATTTGCATTTCATTTTATTTTATTGTCACATGCGTTCTTTAATTGTCATGCATTTATATTTTATTATTTATGTTTAATTATCATGCATATGTCATACATTATCATTATGTTCATACACTTTACATAGGTTTTTAAATGAGGTTTTTCAAACAAAAGTGTTTTAAAATAAGATAATATCTTAAGTTAAATTGACTTTTGAGAATATGGTCTAAACATAAGGGAACTCTCAATAGTTATTATTTACGTGAGATATTATCTTATTTTGTGGGATAATTTAAAAATTCTTAAGTTAAAGATATTTTTGAAGCTCTACCTAAATATAAAAAAATAAGAAAAGTATGTTGATACTTAGGACATTTTTATCTTAATCTAAAAATAAATTGTTTTTGCTTTAAAAAACTAAAAATGATTTGCTTTTAAAAAAAGAGAGAAAAAAGATTTGATTTTTGGAATAAACAAAGGAATTAATTTTTAAGCATTAAAAATAGAATAATTTTCACTAAAATCTAAGGATAACATGCAATTAATTGTTATAATCTTTAATGGGCGCTATGGGATAGCAAATCCTTCCCCACACATAATTGACTCCCATACCCAACTCTGATTTTCATAAACCATAAAATGTTCTTTCAGTAAACTTTAGCTCGTTTTAAATGTTTTATTAAAAGGACAAAAATTTTAGGTGGTCAATCAGACCCTAAAAAAGATTGGTGGCAACTCTTATCTTAATTTTTATTGAAAATGTTTTTTAACACCTATTCGTTTTCTCATTCCCTAAGTTCGATGGTCAGGTTCTTCATGTCCGCATGTCACGACAACATAAATGTCCAATCATCAACACATCATTTATTTTCTATATCAACATTTAAATAAAAAAATTCAAAATTTTTTTAAAAATATATTTTTTAATTCAAAATTTAGAAAAAAAGAACAAAAAGAGAAAGGGAGAGAATCGAGGAGAAAAAGAAAGGATGAATAAAGAAGAATTAAAAAAAGAGAGATAGGAAAAAAAAAGGCATGGGCACCCTTACCAACTGACCCAAGGTTGGATTAAGGTCGGTCTACTATAAACTTGGTGGATTGGCACCGACCTAGCTTGTTTGAGATAGATTGGCATTGATCTACCAAGTCTAAGGAGACTAGCCCCGATCTGACCCTAGGCTAATGTGTGACATTGCCTTTTCTCTTTTCTCTTCTTTTCTCTTTTTCTCTCCCCCCCCCCTTCGCTCTTTCCTAAAGGTGTAAAAAGATACAATTATGCTCATTAGCTACTCAGTTTGATTAGAGAAAAATTCTAATTCAATTCAATCATTGTCGAAATGAGCTTGAGCTCAAGTAGCTAAACTTATTGAATGAGTCAGGTTCAAGCATTTTAGTGTATAGCTCGAGCAACTCGTGAGTCTATTCAAACTTTTTTATTTTAATTAGTAAATTTCAATTTTACCTTTAAATTGTCAAAACCTTATCTGCAAATGCTTCCTTTTTCACTACTTCCGGCATCCTTAATGTCTAAAAAAATGATTTCAACCTAAACTAATAGATGTTTTCTCTTTTTTTACTACATCAACACTCTATTCATTTGTGAAGCAAATCAATCTTCATCAACTTTCTTTTCTTTATAATTTTACTCATACAAACAAGGGCTCAACCAATGTCATATGAAGGCTACAAAACTGAAAAACCAAATCACAACATTAATACCACTTTTGATTGTAAAAAAGCTTCAGAAAATTTTATGAAGGACAAATTTGGAAAAGCAACCTTTTTTATTTCTATCAAGTATAAAAAGTTAGGCAATGATGATGCAATGTGTAAATAGCGAGAGCACCACCAAAATGATAGGTTCTAATATGAATTAGGACAGAATAGGAAAGAATCTCATTCTCTAGAGATTGAGCCAAAATACCTTAAAGTCATAAGCTCGGCATATCTAGGTTCAAAATGTAGATTGGATTGAAATTATAGATTTGCAAAAAAAAATTTCGTTGCTTTTTTGTAGCATCATCTGTAGCCTGACTTTGCTAACTTCATTATTTCTAATAAGGTTTTAAGAATTATTTTTATTATGATTTGAGCTTGCTTGAGTTAGGATTGAGCTTTATCTCAAATCAAACTTGCAAAATAGAACTTAATTGAGCTTGAACCAAGCTTCAATTTTCGATTCGAGTTTGAGCATGACAGTGTACTAACTTGACTCTAGTACACCCCTACTCCTTCCTTCTCTCTTCCTGATATTTTCTTTATGTTTTTTATTTTTTATTTTGACTTGATAATAGCTAATTTGATGATGATTGGATATTTATGAAACATGGCAAGATTTTATTAAGTATTCATTTTTAGGGATGTCAATCTTACCTAAATTTAAAGGAAAATCTGATTTTTTTCCCCTAATAGGGATGATGATAGATATTAAATTTTAGAGATGTGGATGAGAATAGATATAATTTTAAATTTTTTATTGGAGATAGATATGGGAATAGGTAATATAACATCCATCTCTTACCTTATATATATTTATAATTTAATAAATTAATTTTTATGTAATAATATTAATTTTATTTTTGATTTATTAGAACTAATATATTTGTATTTAAAAAAAATACATATTTATTAAAAAATTACTTAAATGTGTAAGATGAAATTTAAAAAAAAAAACTAAGAAATAAATTTTATTTTTTATTTTTTAAAAAAAGTCACAGATATAAGAATTACCTATATATATTAAATACCAAGGAGAATGAGGATGTGAATGAATTTGAATATGAATAGGTAAACTATAAAAAAATAAAGATGAGGATGAAGATGTAGAATAGTCTACCCACTTTATACTTTAGCTATTGACATCTCTCTTCGTACTATATCAATCACTTAATTTACGGTAATAATATGAAATATCAAAATATAAAAAAAAGTTGAAATAGCAAAATAAGAATTAGTTTTTAAAACATTAAACTGAAAAAAATCTATAATACTTGGCCATTTCACGTATTAACGCTACTTAAAAAGATACATGAAATAAGAGTGGGAGACACCTGACAACTGGGTGGATTTTAGTGAGATCGGGAACGACCTAAGAAGATGGAGGAGGAAAAAGTGAAGGGATACATAGAGAATTCAGCCACCATCGAAGGAGATGGACTGCCTTTGAGATTCTTCGAACGCCTAATCATGCATGGTCTACGCGTTGATCTCATCGAAACCGGTCGCGTCGTTTGCTCTTTTAAGGTCCATCCTCGTCTGCTGGTAATTCACTATGAATCATCATTAATCAATTAATTAGAGCATTTCAATACATGGGAAAACTCAGAATTAAGATGTTCGAAGCAAATTATCATTGCTTTCAAATTCTAGATTATTATTATTATTATTATTCTGGTATTGTTTATTGCCAAAGAACGGTGGAAATTACTTGCATGGTGGGGTCACAGCGACACTTGTGGACTTGGTTAGCTCAGCCGCGGTATACACTGTCGGAGTTACCTTCACTGGAACTTCAGTTGAGATAAATGTTTCTTTCATGGATGCTGCTTATGCTGATGTGAGTATGCTCTCCTGCTTTTGTTTTATCAATTTTCTCTTTCTCTAATTGACCTCCCAAAAATGGAATACAAAAGTAAAAAAAAAAAAAAGGAATTACTGGTGTCATGTGCACATTTTCATGGTAGATAGGCAACGTTGCCCCTTGATCAATATAATATTGTAAGACATAAATTCCTCATAAAGCATTCACTATTTAAATAATTGTATTATTCTTCAATCCTTACCACGCCTCTGCTTACACAGGTATACCTATTTTATAACAAAAATTTTTGCTTGCTCAGCTTCTTTATTTTATGTGCACATATAGATAGGACTTTGAACCAGGTTTGAAATTTTATGTAGGAAGTGCCATACCATTGCTAATTGCTACTCAAAAGTTTGTGTTTTTGACAGATTATTGGTTTTGTTAACACTGTGTTTGCAACTTGAGTTTCTGCTCTAAATTCCCTATTGATTTGTTGAGACTTTTCCCACCACTTTTTGAGTTTGAATCAGTTCCATAGTTGACAAACTAGTTACTGGAGGTAAACTTTATGTGAATTTGTGGATCTTCTCTAGTTGTTATATCCTAAAATCATTATAGATTGTTATTATTGAGAAGCGAACCAGATATCTATACATGATGTGGGATTATGAGAACCCACAAGGCAATGAAACACTTAAAGGGGCACTGGAGTTTGCTTCGCTATACTCTCGCCAGAGGCCAAGTTAGTGGGAAAAGCTTAAAGAGTGTTTGACAGAATGTCTGAACAGTAACTAGAGAGGGACTCTCGCCATAAAGAATGCTGTTGTACCTTTTGGAAAGCCTTGGCCACCAAGTGTGGGCTGTCAAGATTGCTTTGCATGTCTTAATTGTAATGTAGAACAAGGTGCAACAGGAGAGATAAAAAGAGGGCCCTTTTAGTGCCCTGGAATGACCCCTATTTAAGAGTTAAAGTCTCCCGCTGAGAAGAATGTTTTCACTCTGAAGAATTTCACGTTAGAATCTTTGTTTGTTGGACATTTCTTTTGGTTTCTTACTATCTTCTTTCTGATGGTCAATGTGTGTTTGAAATTCATCAGCTTGAGAGTTACGTTTTTCCTTTTTCAACTTTTCTTAGCAAATTTACCGTACATATCTTTAAAATATGAACTGAAATTTATTGTGGTGATCTTCTTCAAGCCCCTTGCGTTTCACTGTCCGGGACAAGGCAGGAAGAGAAAAACAAATAAGAAAGCCGGAAGGGAGGGGGGGTGTTGCAATGTGATTATGAATTTTACAGTACAAGAGTTACAGAAAAATACCAATTCAACCACCTTTTCTTAATCAATGTACTCATTTCTAGGAGATAGCCTTTCTTCTTTGTAAGCGACACAAGTATATCATATCTAGATTTATTAGTTTTGCTCTCAAGTTATTAAATAAGCAATGGTGAAAGCCGACAACTACTGACCATCAAAGACTGGAACCTTGTATTTACTTCTTTTCTTTTCCATGTTTTGAAAAGAAAAAAAGAAGTTTTATTTGCTTCTCTTTGTGGAGCTTAAAATAGTAGTATAAGCAAGAAAAGGGTAATGTTTCTGAATTAAGGAATGTCTTTATAAATTTGCAAATGTTATTGCCTATGTAGGAGGAAATTGAGATAGAAGCAAGGGCATCACGTGTTGGGAAGGCTGTTGCTGTTCTCAGTGTTGAATTGAGGAAGAAAGATACAGGGAAAATTATTGCTCAAGGCCGCCATACTAAGTATCTTCCTCTAACTCTACCAAGTAAAATGTAGATAACATTTGAATTTGAGTGATTTGGAACCAATAAAATGAATTATTTCATATGTATTCAGAAATATGCTACTGATTATTGCTTTTATAAGACACCTGAAATTACTTTGTACTTCCTCTATCTTGTCACAACTTGCCTTAAATTGCTTACTATCATTAATCGTTACATCTTGGATCTTTTCAGTAGTTGGTTTTTCTTATGCATGAATATGCCATGTTGTTGGGTACTAAATAGCGTAAAAAAGAACAATGGTTTTTCTCGGGTAAATATCATTGAATAAGTCTTCAACTTTGATTCGGAAGTTTGTAAAATTAAGGTTTGATCTACTATCAAAACAGGGGAGAAGGGCATTCGTGGCTGTTGCTAGACCATTAGCGATTCAAGGTTACGTGCAAGATCACTGGGTGACGACAAATTTGTGTAGGAGGGGCCAACACATAATATTTTTAATCTAAGTATTAATGTATTATAGAAAAAGAGTAAAAAATAAAAGAAAGTAAAAGATAAATTTATTATTGTATTATAGATTAATATTATATTTTATTTTGTAATTTTTATTTCATTGAATTTTGTTTTTTAACTTTGATTTTTGCAGCACAGATCTTGGCTTTATACCAAATTCTCAAGTAATATTTATATACACTAATTTATTTGAAATTATTATAACTAAAATAAAATTAATTAACACACAATGTCAAATACTTTTAGAAATATAAAATAATAATGGATTTATATAAAAATTTTAAAAGTATAAGTCATTTTTATATAAAAAAATTTTATTCAAGAGAGTGTTTTTTATATATATTTTTTTCATATATAATTGTTTTAGAAATAATTTTTTATGCAAGTTCAAAGGAATATGATCAAAGTTCACTTCTAAGATGTCATAATTAATTAAATTCATTCTACAAGGAATGATAAAATGTGTCACATAATTAAATAAATTTATTCTACAAGCAGTGATAAAATATGTCACATAACTTCTAAGAATAAAAAAATTTTGATAACTTTGCAAAATATAAAATCTTTGCATCATACTATCAAAATTAATCTAAATCTAAGAATTTGATAAAAAAAACTCAAACTGTCAAATAAGACATACCTGATCAAACTAAGATGGACAAAATGTAAAAAGTGTATATTTAGTTTTATTATAGAAATTTTATTTCGGTATTTAAACTAAATGAATTTACATTTTCTTCCAGAGTTTGTACAAGTTTTTTTTTTTTTTTCTTTTTACTCAGTTGTTTGATTACTAAGTAGTTCTCTTTCTTTTTTTCGATTATGATTTTCTTTCTGAAGTCTTTTAATTTTTTGAAAAGTTTTTAAGTTAATTTCAACCAATGTCAAAAGAAATTTTTTTTTTTAAACAATCAAAATATATTACTGAAGAAGATCATTGCATTCAGAGTTAAGCATGCCTTGGATTACGGATGGACAATCCCCGATCCATAACTCATCAAAAGCATTGTCCAAAGCATGTCTAGCTAAGCAGTGAGCAATCTCATTTGCATTTCAGTTGACATATTCCACCTGAAAAGATCTGAAAGTTCTGCCTGTGGTCCTCACATCATCTAGAATATTTCCCAGGCTAGAAAGTTCTTAATATCCTTGCTGCCACCCCTTCACCCGTTGCAACGCATCACCTTCAAGAAAAACACAATCCACTCCTAAAGCTTTGGCCAATTCCATGGCCTTAGCCGCAGCTAAGGATTCAACAACAATCGATTCTTGCACATGTCTACCTTTGCAGAAACAGCCCCCATAAAATGTCCTCTGTCATCCCTTATAATCATCCCAATTCCCCCCATTCCTGCAGCCACATTTAAAGCTCCATCAAAGTTTAATTTCGCATGTCCTCGAGGTGGTGCCTCCCACTTAGCAACCGATTCTGTAGAGCGTGATTGCTGGGTTTCGTTTACCTGCCTGTATTCGCACAAGTAGCTTCGAGCAAAGTGGAGAATCATCTATGCCATGCGTTGGGTTTCCTCTTTAACAACTTGGTTCCTGGAATTTCATATTGCCCAGCAGAGCACCAGTCCAGTTTCCAAGTTTCCGGTATCCAATGCATTACCTATTTCTTCGAGCCAACCTCTTCTGGCTGACAAGTTATGATGCCTCCACATGGGATCTAAACCACTTCCTACGTGGACACCCGAAAAATTTTTTAATAATAAAATAAGTTTCATTCGCGAAATTAGATTTTAATATGAAATTATGGGCCTAGTGATTAAAAGTTTAAATACAAAAATTCTCGACATTGATCTAATTTTGATTTTTAATTGGAATTTTAATTTTTAATTTATAAGTGGGTTTTTTGTTTTTAATTTTAATTTTGTTTTTCTTTAATTTTAGGTCAAAGTCAAAAGCAAAAAAAATACAAAAAAAGAATAAAAAAATTAAAAGAAAAATGTGAGATTTGTTTATGCTAAAACCTTAGATTCAATTCTGTCCTTGAATCCAATCTCAATTATGAATTAATTTTGAAAAACTTGATTCCCAATCTTCATGCAAAAAGAAAAGATAATATAAAATACTAAATTTCACAATTTCTCCTAAATTGGGTAAAATTTAAGAATTTTCAAACTTAAAAGGGATTCTACACCTATATAAGAACCCTTTAATATGTGAATAAGGCACAAACAATAAGCACAAAAAGCACTAAAACACTCGTAATCATAGCAATTAAAATTTTTTGGGCTTTTATTTTTTTAGCAATCTTAAGCTTTTGGAATTTTCAAATTTTGAGATTTCGTTTGAATTTTTGAATTCCTTTGATTTTTCTAGATTTTGGTTGATTTGAAATTTTATTGAAGTTCCTAATTGCTAAATTTGATTATGAGTTTGTTTAACTTACTAGGATTGTTCTAGAACCAAGATTGAATATTTGGTTATTTTTGGAATTTTTTTGAGTTTTTTGGGTTTTTTCTTGAAATTTTCGATGGTGTTTAAATATTCTAATGAAATCATGGTGGTAAGAGAGTTTTTACTATGGCTGGTTTCTGGTTTCATTTAACTTTCTAGGGATTTAAGTTTTTTGACGACTAAATTTTGGTAAAGTCATCGGATTTTGAGTTTTTCTTGACCGACCGATTGAATTTATGTTGAATCTAGAGAGAAGTTAGAGAAAATCAAATTATAGAGAGAAAAAGTAAGGCATGTTTAAGAAAACAGAAGACTTTTTTTTTTTTAGCTTTCATATGAGTGCTAAATGACACCATTTTAGCAAGCCCCAATCTAAGTCTAAACCCACATTAGATCAGCGCTCCAACTTGGTAAAGACCCGACCCAATTGCAACATTTTCTTTTTCTTTTTTCATTTTAATTTTATTTTTAATTTCTATTTTATTTTCTTTCTATTTTCTAATTTTTTATTTTATTTTATTTTTTGTTTTGTTTTATTTTCTATTTTTAATTTTAATTGTGTGATTTAATTAATGTGATGAGGCAAAGACAAAGAAAAAAATAGTTAATTTCTACATGATGTTTTTATAAATTTATTTTCTTAAATAGTATTAATTATTATTATTACATGGTAATTAATATATTTGCATGATTATTTATTATATTTCATGATTACACATTATTTGCATGATTATTAATATATTTATTTGCATGATTTATATTATTAATTGCATGATTATATATTTAATTGCATGGTTATTTGCATTATTATTAATATATTTATTTGAATGGTTATTTGTTAATTATTATTTATTATTGCATATTCTATATTTATCGAATGATATGATATTATATATTATTGCATGATTGATATTATATTTGCATGATATTTAATTACATTGTAGACACCCCATTTTGTCCAGGAATATTTTTTCGAAATTAGGCTTCAATCGTAATTGAGAGATTTTTAGGATTTAATTTCAGAATCAATTAGCATTAAAAATGATGTAGAGGGATTGTCGGGATTTAATTTCATAATCAATTCACATTAAAATGATAGGGAGAGATTTTTGAAATTTAATTTCAGAATCAATTCTCATTAAAATTGAAATCAAACAAAATCATAGATTTAAAGGGAATTGATTGGACATGAATTCCAATATAAATCTGTGATCAAAATAAATGGGGCATTCAAAAAAAAGATTATGCAAAAACTCTTGAGAAAAAAAGAGAAAATTTGTTTAGCAACCAAGAGGTTTTAAAGTTCTGGGTTTGGTTTGTTTAGATTTTCTAGAATTGGGATTTGATGCTCTAGGGTTTGAATTTCTATAGGATTTTGCATTCTGAGGATTTCTAGGTTTAGCTTTCTAGACAATTTGTTGGGTTTTTAGAAATTCTCTATTAGCTTTTGGGATTTATTCATCAATTTTTGGAAAATTAGTTAGAGAAAAGATAGAAGAATAACTGTTTTAGAAAGAGAGACATACTCAAACACTTCTGAAGAAAAGCTTGAAATTTGAGGCATCTAAATCTGTGTGTTTTATCATGCACAACCCGACCTGATCACATGTATTCTCTTTCCCTTTTTCACTCCATTTTCTATTTTGATTCTATTTTTCTTATTTTGTTTATTTTATTTCGTTTATTGTTATTTACTTTTATTAGTTCTTATTTTAAATTGAAAAAAAAATACATTACTAATTATTATGATTTTTTTTTGTACTTATTTATGAAATAAATAAAAAACCTTTTTCAAATAAGTTTAAAAGAATAAATAAAAAAATCATTTTTAAAATAAAAATCCTTACAAAATAAATTCATGAATTCTACCAAACTATTGGTGAATTTTCATGGATCTAATTTTTAAAATGGAATCCACCAAATTATTGGGAAATTTCATAAATCAGTTTTTTAAAAAATTAAAAAATAAGAAAATAATTTTTATTCTCTAAACTATTGGATGATTGCTTCATAAATTAAGTCTTATCAAACTATTGGGAGACTTAATGAAATTCTTACAAATTTTTAGAAATCTTTTGGTAGTAAAATCTCACCAAACTATTGGGAGATTTGCTTCAAAGTAAGTCCTACCAAATT